TTAGGCAATTGATTCCGTTTTATCTTAAATTCGGTCTCTGATTAAAAATCGATGAATTAGTCAATGATCTGTTGCTTTGGGCGGTCAAACCATCAATTTTTTGGTCATTTTTATTTTTAATTATTTTTTAATTTTTCAATTTTTATTATCAGAACAGACTGTCTGATTAAACCGACTGAATAACTTAAAAACGGTCAAACCAAACGATCCAGTCGCACGTTGAGAACATCTCCCCGCTACGAATTTAACAGAAATGACGGAGAGATATTCTGAATGTATAGCTGGATGTCTGCGAAAGAAAATGAAGAAAGGGTTCAACTTATAAAAACATTCCGTTGCCGGGAATCGAACCCGGGTCTCCTGGGTGAAAGCCAGATATCCTAACCGCTGGACGACAACGGAACTCCATGATTCTAATGCTCTAAAAACTTCTTTAGAATATCTGTAAGAAATATTAATTTGTTTTTTCCCTCTGTATAAAACGCTATATTATCTAGCTTTCAAAAAAACGCTATATTATCATGATATATCATCTACTTCCTTGAAAATTAATATCATCTAATATATGATAGATCCAGTCGCACGTTGGGAACATCTGCCCCTACGAATTTAGCAGAAATGACGGAGAGATATTCTGAATGTATAGCTGGATGTCTACGAAAGAGAATGAAAAAAACGGTTTCAACTTATAAAAGAACATTCCGTTGCCGGGAATTGAACCCGGGTCTCCTGGGTGAAAGCCAGACATCCTAACCGCTGGACGACAACGGATTACTGATTACGTGATGCACTAAAATGTCTTAATGCAGAAGAAATATTAATTTTGTTTCCTTTCTTTGGTATAAAACGCTACATTATCATCTAATTCCTTCAAAATTGATATGATCTATATATATCATAGAAGGCTTTAGTTCACGTCAACAAATCGGCTCGATTTGGTCGGTTCTCAAAATAATTCAGTCATTTTCGGTTTGAAAAATAGTAGAATCCGACAATTCAGTTTGATTATGGATTATTGTGTTATAAACTAAACAAAAACTGATCCGGCCAATTACTTTTTACACCTATCTATTGTATTTTTTTTAGTAGAAAACTGATATTAATAAATGAAACCAGAACAAGAGAAGAAGACAAACAAGGAAAAGAAACAAAACAACAAGGAAGAGAAAAAGAAAAGAAAAACTATAGAAAACAAGAAACAGAGGACGTTAAGGAGGGATTAAATCCTTTTGGATCAGGCCAGAAAGCTAAAACGGGCAGGCATCTTTCTAGCAACCTACACCACCCAAACCTTTTTGAGCTGCTATGTGGGCAACCATATTTGCTAATCTTGGAACCCACTCAAACTTAACAAGTACAGATCTTGCAAAATGAAGAAAGTCTTGAATAACAATAGAGATTTCATAATCACAATCAACACAAGCAGAAGTCAAACAGTCCACAACAAGTTTACAGTCACTTTCTATGATGAAATGGGATAATCCTAGCCCCTAGGAGTAAACCATTTAAAACTGCAAGAGATTCAGTCATAACAGCAAAACCTCCCTTTAAGCCAGCTGAATTTGACAGATAAACAGGTACCAAGACTATCCCTTACAACAGTTCTAGTCTCAAACAGAAAAGAATCAGCTACAAAAGCTCCGCCTACATTAATCTTTATCCAACTTTACCACCTTCAGAACAGGGAGTGTTGGTGATGATGAAGATACTTGACCCCAAAACTCCTTGGCTAGCATCACAGCCCTATTAATCACCAAGCAATGGTCAATATTAGACTCATTAAAAATAGCACCGTTTCTGCGAAGCCATATATACACCAAATCAGAGAAGTTGTTAGAGAAAGCAACTCTTCTTTTCTATCATTCTGTCCTTTACAAACTCTGACTCACCCAATAAGTCAATCCTTAAAACTCTCATTGTCATTTACATTGTAAAAAAACAAGACCCAGGGGAGACCCAAACCAGCACCTGCTTGCACAATCACACCTACAGATAGCATGCAAAACTGTTTCCTCCTCTTTTAGATACCACTTTCCTTTTGAACAAGTTTACATTTACTACAATGGCTCCAATGCAACATTTCCATAGGAAAGTTTTGAGCTTTGGAGGCACTACCAAGGACCAAATAGATTTCCAAAGGCATTTACCATTCTCTCTGGCCGGGAAGAGTTAACATCTACACTCTTCATGACAAACTAGGTTGATTTTACATTAAAGTGACCCTTTTGGTCTAGACTCCATATGAGTTTATCCTCTTGCTCCACCAAAAGAATCCTAATACTAAGAATTTGGCGAGCTATTTCAAGAATGAAGAGTAAGTTTATCAGCTCAATATTCCAGGCTCTAGATCCTTGGTCCATTAAGTCAGTCACCAAGGATACCCCAAGAGTTCTAAGTTTGGGCCCATAGATTCTAAAGCCAAGCAAACCAGGAACCATGGGTCCTGCCAGATGGAAATTCTCCTTCCCGATCCCACCAACCAATATGCACCTTTGGAGATGACTTCCTTTCCTTTCAACACACTCCTCCAACCCCTTGAACCATTTTGGGGCAATTTGTCATTTAGGAAGGATATATGCGTCACATACTTGGCTCTCAACACCTGAGCCCATAGGTCATTATCATTACTTGCTAACCTCCAAGCTAGTTTAGCTAAGAGTGCCTTGTTAAAACAATCTAGGTCCCTGAACCCCAAACCATCATCCAACTTATTTTTACTAATTTGATCCCAACTAACCCAATGTATGCTTTTTGAGTTGTTACTTTTACCCCACCAAAAGTTTCTTTATTATCTTTTTATATCCTTTGATATGTTTCCGGGTAAGAGAAGCATGACATACTATAAGTTGGTAAGGCATCCAAAACTAATTTTATAAGCACTTCTTTACCTACTTGGTTCAGTAACTTACCTTTCCAACTTGAGAACTTCCTATCCATTTTGTCCACAAGATACTCGAACATCCTTGACTTGGATCTGAAAAAATGAGAGGGGAGCCCAAGGTATGTTGAGGGTTTCTCAACTTTTTTTAAATACATGCTCTTAGCTATGATTTTCTAGAATTTAGGGTGTAGATTGGAGCTAAAAGAAATTTCAGATTTCCTTAGATTCACCTATTGGCCCGATGCTTGTTTATAGTGTTTAATGGCCTTCATAATCTTCTTGCCTTCATCTAAATCTGCCTTTGAGAAGATGAAGCTATCATTTGCAAAAAACAAGTGAGAGATGATAGGGCCTCCATGACTCACTCTGATTCCAAAAATCAATTTAGCTTCAACAAAATCATTTAAAATGCTCGAAAAAACATAAACAAACAAGAGGAACAGATAAGGGGACATTGGGCCCCCTTTCCTTAGCCCTCTCAAAGGGTATACTTTTCTACTTGGAGCTCCATTTATCAAAATYTAATATGACACCGATGTCACATACTCCATGACCCACTTAACCCAAATCTGCCCAAACCCGAGTTTTTCCAAAACTTTCGTCAAGAAAGCCCACTCTATTCTATCATAAGTTTTACTCATATCCAATTTAATAGCCATATAACCTTTCCTAACCTTTGTTTTCCTCATAAAGTGAAAAATCTCATGGGCTATTAGTTTATTGTCCCCAATAAATCTCCCTTCTAGAAAAGCATTCTGATTGTGTGAGATCACTGAGGGAGGAACAGATAAGGGGACATTGGGCCCCCTTTCCTTAGCCCTCTCAAAGGGTATACTTTTCTACTTGGAGCTCCATTTATCAAAATTTAATATGACACCAATGTCACATACTCCATGACCCACTTAACCCAAGTCTRCYCAAACCCGAGTTTTTCCAAAACTTTYSTCAAGAAAGCCCACTCTATTCTATCATAAGTTTTACTCATATCCAATTTAATRGCCATATAACMTTTYCTARCCTTTGTTTTCCTCATAAAGTGAAAAATCTCATGGGCTATTAGTTTGTTGTCCTCAATAAATCTCCCTTCTAGAAAAGCATTCTGATTGTGTGAAATCACTGAGGGAGGAACAGATAAGGGGACATTGGGCCCCCTTTCCTTAGCCCTCTCAAAGGGTATACTTTTCTACTTGGAGCTCCATTTATCAAAATTTAATATGACACCAATGTCACATACTCCATGACCCACTTAACCCAAGTCTRCYCAAACCCGAGTTTTTCCAAAACTTTYSTCAAGAAAGCCCACTCTATTCTATCATAAGTTTTACTCATATCCAATTTAATGGCCATATAACATTTCCTAGCCTTTGTTTTCCTCATAAAGTGAAAAATCTCATGGGCTATTAGTTTGTTGTCCCCAATAAATCTCTCTTCTAGAAAAGCATTATGATTGTGTGAGATCACTGAGGGAGGGATTTTTTTCATCCTATTGGCAAGGATTTTTGCAATAACCTTATACATGGTGTTGCAAAGACTGATTAGCCTGAAGTGATTGGGTTCCTCTAGGTGGTTTACCTTTGGAATGAGGGTTATGAAAGTTGAGTTCAGATCTTTATGGATAACCCCGTCTCTAAAGAAAATTTTCACTGATGCTTTAACATCCTCTACAACTATATGCCAATATTTTTGAAAGAACATATTAGGGAATCCATCCGACCCCGAGGCCTTTCTTGGTTTCATTTGGAATAAGGCCTCATAGATCTCCTCATAAGAGACATCCCTTTCTAGGTCTCTAGTATCCTCTTCAGCTATTACTGTTTTGACATGTTCTAAGGTTGCTTTCATATTTGTGGGGTCTGAAGTGCTAAATAAATTCTGAGAATGATCCCTAAAAACCATCTCAATTTTCCTAGGATCCTCCTCCCAATCTCCTTGATTATTTTTAGTTCTCAAAATTTTGTTCCTTGATCTCCTATTTAAAGTAGATTGATGGAAGAACCTAGTATTTCAGTCACCCCACTTTAGCCAATTACACCTAGATTTTTGGGCCCAATGAATCTCTTCTCGCTTCAATCACTTATCTAGGATTTGCTCACAATGTTTAACTTTCTAAACTAGCTACAGGGTCATGCAAGGCTCTTTCAAAGTCTGATTTTGCTTCTTCAATCTTTCTACTAAGCAAGCCAAAGGATTCATTGTTCCATTTCTTCAGTTCAGCTCTGAGCCTCATACTTTTTGCTCCCAACACATGTAGGCTTTGACCTTTAGAGGCCTTATTCCAAGACTCCTCAATTACCATTTCGCAATATTCATGGGTAATCCACATTTCCTCAAACCTAAAGGGTTTTCGTTTTCCCCTCAAATCAGATTTAGTATCCAGGAGAATTAGTAGATGGTCTGAACTTACCATTGACATGTGGTAAATACATGCATCAAGAAATACATCTTTTCATTTAGTGTTACCCATCCCTCTGTCTAGAACTTCAAAAATCATATTACGATACTCCCTTCTATTGCACCAAGTGAACCATGGACCAGCACTTTTAATATCAGAGATACTTAAACTCCTAACCAAATTTACATTTCTCTGCAGAACCCAATGCTTACAGTCCTTACCTCCTAGTTTTTCATCCTTGCAAAAAATCAAATTTAGGTCGCCTATGCATAACCACAACCCCTGACTTCTTGAAGCTATTTGAGTCCATTGGTTAAAGAACAGAGGTTTATCTTTTTTGTGGGGAGGGCCATAATAGAAAGTACAAAACCAGCTCCCACTCATTGTGTCATTGATTTGAGTGTGGATGAAATTTTTATTTGCAGTAATTACCTTGAGGTTTATGTCGTTTCTCCATAACAATGCTAATCCACCAGATAGCCCAATTGCATCTACCCCCATATATTCCAATCTCTAAGAGTTTTGAGTTTCCTAACACAGTCCATTAATTTACATTTGGTTTCCATGAGAAAAAGAATGACAGGTTGTTCTTAATTGAAGATCCTCTTCATTGAATGAATTGTCAGGGGGGAACCAACACCCTAACAATTCCAATTGATCACTTTCATTTTCTTCTTGGTGGTTGTTTTGAGATAACCACCCACACCCATTTATTCAGACAAGCACAATAATGAACATGCATATGAGAATGAGCACTACAAAGCTTTTAAAAATATTTTGGTGAACAACACTAAGGCTTACTAAGTTGAGTATGCACTGAAGTCTACCACTACAAAAGTGGAAGGTCTTAGCCCTACCACGCAAAAGTTGATGGTTAAACTTGCCTCTTTTCCTAAACAAAAAGTTCGTTGTTAAGTGTCACTTTGTCCATCAGCACTCAACCTCAAAGTTTGGCATTTCATCTTCCTTACACACTAGCAACTAACTGGATTTAGTGGTTGTTTCCTTTATGCCATGGGTTTGTGAGCATCTCTTCTTGGGATGACTGGGTCTTTTGAATTTTTTACCAAAAGTTCTAAAAAATAAAGGGAAAACATTTGAGTTAAGTAAAATATTACTAACCTCCATAGGCACTGATACCATTTTCCTAGCTTGTTGAGTCCATGTTGAAGTTCCAAAACCAGTCGCACCATCGACTTGGCTCTCCAATGGAATGGAGGTTTTTGCTGCTTCAAACTTGTGCTTTTTGAAACAGGGGACTATTTCCTACCCCGATCTACAAACCCGAATCCGAAACCCGCTCTGTTCATCTTTGACATTGGTCGTTTCAATTTGAAGTTTGAAAGGACAGGGTTGATCGAGGCTTCCTCTATTATCGCTAAATCTGGGGCCAAAGTATTGAGGTGTTGTTCACCATCAAAATCTTTCTGTAGCATTGAATCCGCTTTTGTGTCGGTTGCATCCTGTTGATGTGATATTTCCTTTATCACAATACTCAATTTTTCTTTGAAGGGTAAATTTCTAGGCCATCTTTCTGGAAGATTTGATTAACACTCCCTAGTATGGTAAGACTTGAGTCATAGGTAAATTGTCCTCAAACTTCCACCCTGGATCCTTTCCATGACTGATCATCTTGTTGGAAGACGTTTACTGAAGCAAACAACAGATTGAAACTCTGACCGTCCAACACATAGAACTCAGCTACCTTTGTTAAATCATTTACAAATCTAGTTTGAAAAACTACTACATGAGGACAGTGATCCCTCTCTGAACATAGCACCCATCCGATCAATCTACTTTGGGTTCGGTGAGTCATTACTCGAGTTCTCAGAATCTTGAACTAACTTCTTGTTCCCCTTGTCATCGTTTGATCTCTCAGAACATATTCTCTTTTCTTCAAGACTCATCTTCGTACCTTTGTTGAGAAATTTATCTTCTTCTGCGTCAGGTTCCGCTCGGAGCCAGGGGCCATTATCCCCTAGTTTTTGTTCTTCGTTAATTACATTTTGGGCTAGCATGGACGCCAAGTCATCAATAGGATCAGCTCGATCCTCAGAGCCACACTTTTCTTCTCCATGTCCAATCTTCCCGCACTTGTAACAGAATAACGGAAGTCTTTCATATTGAGAGGAATGCCAAGCTCTAGTTATGTCCTATTTCGTTCTATAAACACCATTCTCAAGCGGATTATTGACATTCAGTCAGATTTTCACCCTTAGATAAATGTCCCATTCCAGGGAGCTAATATCCTTGATGTTGTCCTCATCCAAAGGTACCGGTTCTCCGACTTCTTTAACTAGCATTTCATCGAAGGCTCTAGTCATAGCTTCTGGTGGAAGATACAAATACAAATGTTCAAATGTTCAAAAACTAAGTCCTTGGGGGATATATGAGGCACCCAGTCCCGAAGGAGAAGCGAATAGTCCTTGACTAGCCATGGTTGATTCTTCAAAACTCTCTTCCTATCTTTCTCCCTCGTGAAGATGATAAACAACACATCTCCACTTATTCTCCTCACATCATATTTCTTAATCTTCCTTGTTCACATATTCTTAATCCTTTCTAGAACTCCATAAGCATTCAATGGTTTATCTGATATTATTTACCATAAAGATAGAGGTTGCATTTGTTTACCAAGCTCTTCGATTCCTCTAAGCCCTCCATCCTTTTCGACCAAAGCAAAGGATTAGGATAACCAGGGGAGACAGATTTCTACTAGATGAGGTTGCGAGAAAAAACCAAGGAAACCCGTTGTTTGCACTTCAAATAGCACTAGGGCTACACCTCCATTTCTTCGCTCTTGCTAGCACAATGCATATTGGTTAGCATTTATTTTATATTAATGGAATAGAGGAAAATGTAGCATTGTTATTACTTTTTAATTTTGACTCTTTTTATGATTTGACTTATTTTATATTTAAAAATTTTCAGCCGCCTAACATTCTCTCTTCATTCCTTTCTCCCACTTTTAATTTCTCAATTTCCAATTTCAAAAGAATGAAAAAGACAAAACTCAAAACTATAAATCCTACTACATAGGGTCTAACATCTTAGGCTTATAGATGTCAGTTTTATCAAATAAAGTTCTAACAAGACATTTTTCATACTAAATTGAAGAGTTTTACCTCTAGTGGGACCCATGTAATAATAAATTAAAGATTTGGCATTTGATAGTAAAACACATAATACACTTTCCTTCGATTAACCGATTAAACCGATTGAAAAAATTCAAAATCGGTTTTAATGGTTTTACATGTTTATCGATCGGTTTCGGTTGACTAAATAATCAACCCGACAATGTTAATTTGGTTGAAAAAAGTAAGTGAAATCAAACCAAATTAACCTGTATACAACCCTACCAACCGCTGGACGACAACGAAATTCTACGTTTCCAATGCTCTAAAAATGTCTTTAGACTAATCTATAAGAAATATTAATTTGGTTTTGTTCTTTGTATAAAACTCTATATTATCATGATATCATCTACTTCCTTGAAAGTTGATATCATCTATATATATGACAGAAGGTTGTAGTTCATGTCAACAATGCTTTGTACCATACATTTTTTTTCTTTTCTCTTCTTGCATTTTATAAAAGAATTTTTAAATGAAATGTCTATTAATTATCTCTTTCTTTTAAGGCTATATTTGGTTTTAAGGAAAAAGTAGGGAAAGGAAAGGAAATGCAAGGAAACCTTTACAAACCTTGTATAAATTTTGATATCTTTCCCTACCTTTTCCTTTAAAACAAACATAGCCTAATTTAGTTTTAATTGAATGCTCTATTTATTATACTAGAAAAAAGTTATTTAACTTAACTTTGGCTGTTGGGGGCGAGGAGTCCTTCCTGGGTTTGAGCACCTTCACGACAGTTCATCAATTCACGATCATGCTTTTATTTTTACTTAAAATAAATTAGAATGTAATTACTAATTTGCCCACTTTCATGGTAACACCCCCAACTCAAACTCTCTCAACAGGAAAGGCTATTGGCCTCCAACAACCAATTTTTTTCCTTTACGATTAGGAAGCCTTTTTCCGAAAAATATTAGTGGATTTTAACAACTAGGGGAGAGAGAGAGAGAGTTTGTATCCAAAGCCAAAAGTCCAAAACTCCCTTGTGCTATTTTTACAAAACTCTTGTAATTGGTAAAAGGTAGGGAAACCCATTCAACCCAAGCCAAATTCAAGGCAAGACACCCACTCCCCATCCAAGGTTTTTAAAATTGAACCAGATAGGAAACCATTTTGGGGTTGAATGGTCCGATTGTTCGGTCCAAACAGATGACCCGCTCTAACAAAAAAAATTAGAAAAACAAAAAAAGGATAAAAATTATTATCTGGGTTGATGGTTCGACCGCCCAGGTCAGCAATTCGCTAACGAAATAAACAATTTTTGGACAAAAAGTGGTTTTGATGTGAACAGTGTCTGGTTCCCAATTTTTTTGGTCTAACCATCTGGTTTGATCTAGTTTTGAAAATACTGTCCCCGTCAACCCAATATTCAATTTGATGATAGAAATGATCAAAATGATATATTGAGTATCAACCACATGGTAAATTTCTATTATTGTTAATTGAAAGATTTAATAAATTTCCATTCAATCGGACCTCAATCCCCATCCTCGACCCCAACCTCAACCAAGGATTCCTATTAATCCTTGTCCTCGCCCCCCACCCCACCAAAACAATCTCCATCCCCAGCCCCATTGGGTTGGGGAAGTCAGGTCCTTGTTGGGGATGGGAAAAATTGACATCCCTAAAAGTGTGTTCTAATAAATGACCCTAATAGAAACACATAAGAGTATACAATTGTTTTATATTTTCAACTTTTTAAATAATTAATAATTATTCATATTTTATATACTACTTTTAATAAAATTTTTATAATACAAAAATAACAAT